AGAACATATAGAAAATTTGGTATGATTCTTGAATCTCATAAGGAAGATAGGATTTTGAGGTTAAAGATGATTTACATGGATATAAGTTGGTTCAAGTAATGGTAGTTGAGTTTAATGTCATAAGAGGGGCTTAAAATAGAAGAATTAAGGGAATAGTTGATGATTTACGTGCTAAAATGTCAGTTTTGGGTAATGTGCATCGATGCACATTCATTGTGCACCGATGCATCGATGATAAATCCCAGAAATTGTTTAAGGTGCATCGATGCACATGCAGTGCATCGATGTATTAATTTAAAAAGAAAACATCGAATAGGATTTATGCATCGATGTATAATGAGTGCATCGATGCATCCCCATTAAATACAAACATCGAATAGGATTTATGCATCGATGCATGGTGTAGTGCATCGATGCATACCTTCATTAAAAGATAAAAATGACTCTTCTTTTAGCCCAAGAAATGATAGTTAGAATATATTAATTAGTATACTGATTAGTATCAATGAATTATTATGTAGATACAGAGCCTAAACAAGTTCCGGAACTTATCAAGTAAGATCGATCAAGGAAAGATAACAGATCGATATTGACTAGTGAGGCCAGGTGAGTGCGTACTATTAGAATATACGTATTGTATATGGAAATTTGACTTGCGACAAGTCTGTTTCCAATATGTTGAATATATGATTGTATGATTATGTTTGATATTACATGAATATGTTTAGTTGTATTACATGTTAGGTGGTATGAATTTATATGATATGTGTTATATGGCAATGATTTATGTATTATAGGAATTAGATGAGTTATATGAACCTGAGATATAAATTATAGGAGCATGAACTATATAAAATAGCAATGATTTATATGATAACAAGAGAAAGGATATAAATTACATGAGTTAGATATATATATATATATATAGGAATTTGTATAACCAACTTATGAGATTAGATGAAAAGTGAGATAAGTTAAATAACATTGATTTATAGGACAATATAAGAATAATATATAAATGAGGAGACATTGACAGAAGTGATTATATGAACATGTAAAATAAGTTATATGGAGAGGATATATGAGCTGAAATGAACATATAATACATGAGTCATATGGTAAAGATTTATGAATCTATAGGAAAATGTTATGGGAACTATGTGATGATAAGTTATGAGAAAATATTTATATAGGTAACAAGCTATGTGAAATTAAATTAAGTAATATATGAAACTAGAATATAATTAATGTGAAATAAGTGATTAGGTAAAACTGTGAGAAGTTATAGGGCATTGTTATTCGAAGTATATGAAAGTATGTATATGGATACCTATATAAGTTTATATGTTATACTATGTGCTATGTGATATACTTGATGTATGAGAATCATATGAGAATAAGAGATGACAATGAGTTACATGCCATATGAACACAAGAGAAGTGTTATAAGCTACGTGACAGATGACTATGAAATCATATGAAAAGTGAAATGTACATGTGAATATGTGAAGTGATATGAATATAATGCCCATGTTATATGATACGAGAGCTATAGGTATAGTTGGCATGCCAAGAGTCGAGGGTTTTACCTATGTCTTTCGAGATATATGGACAGTATACCTATGTTCTAAGGAACATATGAACAGTTTACCTAGGTTCTTTGGGACCTATGGACAGTTGCCGAGGTTCTTTATGACCTCTGGATAGTTACCGGGGTCTTTGTTACCTCTGGATAGGTCCTTCGGGACATTGATCGAGCTGTGGTGACAGCATATGTGTGCACAACCTCAATATACTCACATACCTCAAGTTCTCACTAGTGTACATGGGCTAATATAGAGATTAAACAAACATATTGAATGTGATATGTATACGATGGGTTTATAGATGGTTATCAAAGGTAAATGGTTTGAAATGTGTTACATGAACCATATGATGTTATGTGTGTTTCTTAATGATAATGATAGAGATTATGATAATGATGGTATATGTTTATGTATGCTTTATGTTATATGAAATATTATATGTTTTATATGCCTCACTAAGTCAACGACTTAGCGTGTGATTCTTTCACACGTAGGTTACAGAAGTGAGAAGAGTAAAGAGCAACGTGGAGCAAGACAGGTCAGTTCTTCTTACCAAAAGTCATATCAAAAGAAAGATAAATAATATGTATTTGAATACATAAAGTTCTAGTTGGCATGTATTCAAGATAATATATTGTGTAAGCTCTGAATAGTTCGATAAAGGTTTTGAATAAGTTATATGTAATAATAAATTTTAAATTACTCACTATTTTATACAAGTAAAGGTTTTTGAAAAGTCCATGTGGCACTTCGGACTCGGATCCGGGTCGGATACGGGTTGGGGGTGTTACATACAGACACTCAAGTACATGCAGTGGCAGAGTTAATGAGAAGCAGGGAAGACATTCGACAATTGGTGAAAATTCAATTACAGCAAGCAAGTAATAGAATGAAACAGAAAGCTGATAAAAACAGATCAGAAAAGAGTATTTTAGATTGGGGATTTCGTTTACCTGAAACTGCAGCCGTATCGACAGACTTCTATCGCCCTGAGGAAAAATTTGAAATTAGCAGCAAGGTTTTATGGCCCTTACAAGATTATTGAAAAAATTGGGGAAGCAGCCTACAAACTTGACTTACCAGATTCTTCGCGGTTGCACCCAGTCTTTCATGTCAGTTTATTGAAGAAGCATGTTGGGCCTGATGCAGCAACTTCCACAGATCCTCCTACGATTGATGATGAGGGTCAGTTTCGGATAAAACCCAACAAAATATTAGGCAGAAGAATTGTTAATCGACACAATAAATCGATTACACAGTTGTTGGTTCGGTGGACTAACCTGGACGAGATGCACGACACTTGGGAAGACTATTCAGTGCTGTGAGGGCAGTTTCCGTCGTTTGATCCTTGGGGACAAGGATCATCTGATGGGGTGGGTATTGTCACGGTGGGAGAGGGAAGACGAGAGGGAGAAGAAGAAGGACGAGAGATGAGTATCGAAGGAGAATTGGGGGAAATGAATAATCAAGGGTTAGGGATTGAGATAGAATTGGGAAGTAATTACCTGAGAGCAGGGCACGTGAGGAGCACGGGGGGAATTAAAGTAATTACCCAGTAGATTCAGCAGACTGGTCCAGCAAATACAGGTGGAGCAAAGGAAGCCCAGCAGCAGCCCAATTCCTGTTATGATAACAGAATTGGTTAGAGAGAGGTACAGCTGGCATAACAGAATCTATTATGATTGTATGTAAATAAAGGCAATGTAAACAGAAAGAGGAGTTATGAAATGAATGAATGAATGAATGAATGAGAACGTTTTCTGTAATCTTGTCTTTCTGCTTCTAAAAACCCCATTCCTTCGATTATTTCTTCTTCTTTTACCCCATTCATAACACTCTGCTGTTTAGACCAAAGACCACACATAAATTCAGGAAGTACTGGAAATCTTACCACCATTTTGTAGGGTATTCGTGTGTGGTTCTTGGGGTTGTGAATGTATTCCAAGGCTTCAAAGTAATGGGGGAAGGCAGGTCCTATGCGAAGCTGGGTTATTGTTTGTGCTTGTCGACGTTGGTGGGTGTTTGTATAGCTCTAGAAGTGAATTCTTGGGTGATATTTTGCAGGAAATCTAAAGAAGAAAAGATGAGGAGAGAAGGGCTGATTTCAGGGTCGGATAAAGGTAGTGGAATCCACAGTGGAACCCATAGTGGAGTCCTTAGCTAAATAAATGGACACCGAAAACAGAAGAAAGGAGATTGAATACCGGAGATTAAATGGTTCTCTAAGCGTCAGGTTTGTAGTTTAATCTTTTTATGATATCAACAGGTTTCCCAGTTGTATTTATGGACAAATATACATAATGAAATACGTTGCTTCGCAAAGCAACAAGTTTTTGTTCTGTGCTTCTATGTAAAGTTGAAGCAAATTTTGATTTTCAATGAGATTTTTGTTTTTGGTTCATACTTCTCAATGACAAGTTTCAAGCATATTGTTGGAACAGATCATAATTCTTCTGCAACCTGTAGAACTTGTTTTGTTTTGTTGGAACATTTGCCAACTACACACTCTTAAAAAGAGCCGAAAGTACCAAACCTCAGTTTTCTTCATTAAGATTGCCGGCAAACCCCCGGCCCATCGACGGTGGATGCTTCCAACTAGAACAGTCACATAATCATTTAAATAATTGGTTCATGCATTTTCTTTTCAAAGTCAATGGGCTAAGTTCTTACAAAGGGGTATTAGGCATATTGTCCCCAATAGTTTCCTCCCCCCGTAATCATTATTTGTCGCCCTCGTATTCAAAGTAAATATTTTTTAATAGTATGGAGATTTTGTTTATAATTTTCTTAGTTTACCGATAACGTACACATCATGCAAATGTATCTTGATGTAGATGTAGATGTAGATGTTCGAACCGAAATCCTTTAAAAAGAATAACATTTCATTTCATCACTTAAGTCCCTCAATGGGTTCAAAAAGGTAAATGATTTAAAATACATTTTATAGGGATGAAAAAGGTTAGAAAGGGTTCATCCCCTTTTGGGTTATTATCTAGAGAACTTGTACTTGAGGAAATGACAGCTTGAGAATGAATAAGAGACTATTTTAGATAAATCTGAAAGCCAAATGGTCTAACATTATTATAATCTAAAAGCAATATTCATAGTTGAATGCAGCAGGGGAAGAACTTGGATCATGCTACATATCTCCCAAGCCATGCATTTGGCAATTTGCAAATATTTAAACCTTATTCTCTGCCAAATTGACACCTAAAACAAGGACTGCAAGAATGGCTATCACGCACGAAAGAGTAAGCAACTTGACATTGTAGATTGAATATAACAAACAACAGCAGCATATGCAAAACTAATTATGAACAAGGTTTCCGTATTTCGTGTCGATAGCAATTGAAACCATTCATTTCAGTGTTTCAAAAGAAAGTTCCAACCCTGTTAGAACAAAAGTTTCAACAGTCTTATTCGGAGGAACCCTAGATGGGTATCCCTTTCAATGTTTCACACTGATAAATGAACAAGAATCTCTCAGGTACATTCTGGCTGAAACACAAGCCCAAATAATGGAAGAAAAGGAAAAACAAAAGAAAACATAGCTGACAAGAACCCACAGCTTTACCAGAGCCATTACTGAAATTAAAATCTAATGGGAAAAAATAGTTTATAATTGTTATGCATCACCAGCCTTGCATGAGATGCATGGGACGTCTTCTGACTATATCTCGGAATCTGATTTTACATCTCACTCGAATACCAAAAATGAACCCTAAAAACATAACTCAAACCTCAAGCCTTAACACAACCCCTTATGATACCCAACTCTAAGAATGTATTGCTCCAAAAACAGGCACTTCATTTAGCTACAGATAACCAACTTTCTTAAAACTGAAACATAATGATTAACGTGGGAAATGAGCAGAACTCACTGATTGCTTGCATCACAAGTTATCTCCACCTACAGTATAGTGAGAACCAAATTAATCTCCTAGGTAACAACTCCTGAACCAAGAGAAAATCAAAATCAATCATTATAAAGAAACTAAGTATTTATAACAATGTTTTTGGGAGTACTCAAGGATCAAGTCTTACCTCTAGTTGATTGTCCCTGATTAACACTATAACCACCAACATAACCAGGAGAACTTTTACCCGGAACATCAGAAGTGGTACGAACAAGTCCATAACCATCTAGATCAGATGATGATGGCCAATTGGTATCCCCATAAAATGAAGCACCACCATAAGCATCTGCAAAGGCTCCATCATAGCCACCATTTGATGCTGCATATGATGATGTTGGCACCACATTAGTCCCAGTGTTTCTCTCATACCCTGCAGTCCCCAACCCGAAGCTGTTATCACCACTTCCATAACCGAAATTCACACTATTGCTAGAAACATTATTCCTTCCACCTTCACTGGAAATTGGAGAAGAACTCCAATTAATTCCACTATCTCCAAAGGCACTTGCTGCTATACTCCCACTTCCAGATCCTGCATGGGCACCAGAACTAGCATTTGCATTATAATTGAGCCCTCCATTTCCCCAAAGATTCCGGGTCACCGAGCTGAAAAAGGAAGCATTACCCACACCTACATTACTTCCATCATACCCAATAGGACTACCAAACCTATTTGTATTACCAATATAATAAGGGCTCATTCCTCGTCCATAGTTACTAAAATGTGTACCATTCCCAAAACTTGGATTCAACCCTAGCTCAAAGTTCATGCCCATTCCAAATTCAGAACCAAAAGGAGGAAACCCACTTCGACCACCAGCAACTGGACTGAATCTACGATCCATCCTAAGTCCATAGGCTCCAAGGCTATTAGGATTATATCCCTGAGTGTAGCCATTGAGAAAGTTGTTGGCCCTATTCAAACCATAGTTATATACACCAAGAGGGCTACGAGTCGGGCCAGGCAATAGCTCTTTAGGAACTGCTCGTTTAACCTCGACCATTTTACCATTCAGTTCATGGAAATTCGTTAGCAACACTTTATCCACTGCCTCTTCTGAATCATAAGTGATGAATCCGAAACCCCTAGGCCTTTGAGTGTTGTGATCATACATCACTACAACGTCTGTGACATTCCCAAACTGATCAAAATACTTCTTGAAGTCACTCTCTGTGACTGTAGACGCTAAACCTCCTACAAAAATCTTTCTTGTGCGCCCTGGACCAGGTGAACCCTGGATGCTACTATTACTTCTACTCATAATGTTCTGGTCATCCCTAGGAACTGCCTTTTTAGCCTCAACCTGGGCATGAGTAACTCAATGATGAAAATTAATCCTTTAGAGCAGAAACTATATCATCTCAATATATATGATTATTCTAAATTACAAGAATGACAAACATAATCACTATCTTTGCGAAGTAAAAGATAAATAAGACGAAGCATGAAACCGTTACACTCAGCTTAATTTTGAAATTTAGCAGGACACAGAACCATAACTGTATGAATTCCAGTAACTACAAGATCAGGTTCATAAACTCGATAAGGAATTGATTTTTTCCTCTCATAACTTCGGAAAGCTAATAGCACCATTGAAGAGTACATTGGGTAATATTCATATAAAGAGGTTTGCCTAAAATTAAAGATCAACAACTTACCATCCTGCCATCAATATTGTGTTTCTCCTTGACGACTTTCTCAGCAATGGCTGGGTCGGAGAAAACTATGAAACCAAAACCTCGAGCACGTCCTGTGGTCCGATCCTTCATGATCACTGCCTCTACCACTTCACCAAAACTGCTGAAATACTCCTTGAGGCGCTCTTCATTGGTGTCCCAAGATATTCCACCAATAAATAGCTTCTCAGACATCTTTATCTGCATTACAGAAAAACTAGTTTGATCAATACAAACCCTAAACCATCCGCAAATCTAAACCAAATACAAACTTTAACGGTCAAATTCATTACTGGATTGAAAGCAATATATAAAAATTTCATTGCAGCAACAACAGTAAGCCAATCAAAAACCAATCCCATATGGATCAAATTAACAATATCAAATCAAAATCATGTCTTTTGTTGACTATAGCAATCTAATTACAATAATGTAGATAGAATTCAATACCTTTTATCTAACAAAAAGTGTAATCCGAAACAAGATGAAAAATTATCTCCGATTCAAAGCTTAAAACAAACAGATCGTTCGACGGTCAATAAACGAACAACCCAGAATTTAGCTTCACCTTGAATTCAGAAATGAAAGAGGCAAAGAACCAAAACCCAGATTGATGATCAATCAGAAACCTGATATTAGCTGTAAAAGTTTATTGGAAATTTAAGCAAAGGATTTAGAACACGAATCCAGATTCATCAAAACAAAGAAAGAAACCCACCAATCAAAGGAAACCCAACTGTCAAGTCTTGCAAAAAAAACTAAGATCTGAAAGGAGGCACAATAAGAATAAGAATAGAGGAGGTTAATTCATCCTCTTTGTTCTCTTCAACTTGCCTTCCCCCTCCAAATAATATTTCCTTCTTCCAATTTTATTCTGTCCTTTTAACACCCAAAATGCAAATTCAATTAAAACAAATGTTCATATAAATAATAAATTTGTAGTTTTGGTAATATATAAATGCAACAAGGAAAATATAAGAAAACAAATTTGTTTGGACAGAGAAAGAGAAAATCTTATTTTTTGAGATTTTATTTAGAGACTATATATTATATAGTAATCTCTAGAAAGCCTCTTAGAAAGATAATGGGTGAGAGATTATAAGAAGGGGTAAATTAATATTTTATGCTAATTTTTTAAAAACATATTTATAATCTAAAAAGATTATAAGAAAGGGTGAGAGATTATTTGAGGCTAAATTTTAGATTTAATATCAGTTCATATTAAATTAATATCATTATTATATTATATGTTTGATTAAATTTAAGAAAATATTACAATTACACTTTTTTTCTGTATATCAATTTTTTATTTTCATATATAAGATTAAAATAAATAAATTTATGAAATGCATATTAATTAATATAAAATTTACAAATTATATGAATTATTATAGGATTTATTATTTTAAATACCAACTGTTTTTTTATGAAATACCAACTGGTTTTTTAGAGAGTTGTATATAATTTAAAAAATATTTTTCTATATAACAACCATCATAAATACAATATTCAAACAATACAGTAATTAATCACATGATGATTCATAAATCAATTTAAAAATATATATCAAACACATTTGAGGTTGTGTGACCGACTAGTGTTGGTACAAGTAGTTGAGATTCATGAAATTGAGTTTGTAAGGTTAAGTTTGAATCTTACCACTGTCACTCTTAGTGGATAATCTATAAATTCCTATGTAAATCTCAATTGAGTCTTAGTGGTCTTGGACGGGAAGTCACCCCTGACTTAAATTCTATTATATAAAAAAATAAAATTTAAAAATAAAACAAATAATCATTTAAATAATTATATATATATGACGAAAGAAAATAATTAACTTAAATGTAATTAAATTTAGTTACAGTTTAAATTAAATATTAATTTAATTAGAAATATAATAATTATATAACTTGTTTCAGTAGTTAAACCTTACATTGATGTCTTAGGGTGCGCTTGGTTCACGGAATGTAAGATTATCAGTGGGAATAAGATTACCGACGGGAATCAGATTACTGGAAATCTTGTATTTTCTGTTTGGTTCGTTTAGCATGAATGTAAGATTATAGTGTTTGGTTAAAAGAATAAAATATTATTGCAATATATATTTTATCAAATTATTTTTATTATATATTAATTTTTTAACAAGTTGAATTCTATTATAATATTACTATAATTAATTTATATATTTTTTAAAAAAAATTAAATTCATAAAATTTATATAATTTTTTTATAAAATTGAAAAGATAAATATGTTTAATGAAATGGTAAAATTTTATTTTAACCCCTAAACTTCATATAAAATTCTAATTATGGACTTTTTTTTATAAATCTAAGATAGTTTAAGGATAAATTTATAATTTAACCTTCGTAGAATTTTTATTATTCAACGACAGAATAATGATATTTTTGAAGAAGAAAAAAATTAAGGGTATTTTAGTCCAAAACATTGGTAATTCAACAATACCTAAAGGAAAGGGGTAATCTCATTCCCGGTAATATACTTCCAAAATACTATTGTTGGGAATAAAAGATTAGTTATACAAAGAATCTTAGGTTTTTTCCCCGCATCTTTTTTTTATTTAACTAATAAGGGGTTTAATATATAATTTTATGTATGACAGTAGAACATTGAACGTCCAAGTATAATCTTATATTTTTTTATATGGACAATAATATCAATCGAACTAAATGTAATTGATTATACAATTGAATGTTTTAAAAATATTTTTGAAGGTTATTATAATAATATGTTTTTCAAATATATTAAATTAATAAATAAAATTATGAATTATCAAGTTTGTATATATTGAACTAATTAACAACAGTAGAAGTATAATTTGTGTCGCTTTTATTCTAACCGTATTCCGTGCTTGTATTTTACTTTTAATATGGTTTAGCGGCATGTAACATTTCATGAAGGTGTCTTGGAGCCTACTTTTAGATATTTTTATCATTTACAATTATATTTTAATGATGAACTCTGTTTTCTATATTAATTTAATTATAAATTACTGAAAGAATGAATTCATTGCCTGTGTGTTACAATTATTATTTTTTTTTTTTTTGACATTTTCCAAACCTACTTTTGTACATGAAGAGCTTGGTCAAACAATGATGGAGGTCCCAAAGTCTGAAAAACTTTATTGCAAAAGGGGGGGAAATATGACCAAAAGATCAAATTCTAGTATGAAACACGTGTGCAAGGTCCCCAATCTACAAAGGAGTTTATATTCATTAACCGAACAAAAATTCGAACAAAATCCAAATTTAATTCAGTTGATTCATACAATTATTCGTAAAAAATAGGAAACGAAAACGAAAACGGCTTCTGAGAAATCATAAAAAAAACAGAGCACTGATTGCAAACATGGCTTCCATGTTGCATGCAACAAAAGAGGGTATTACAACAAAAACTAATTAAAAGCATCATGTACTCCATTTCAGAACAGCATAATGGAGAAAGAATGAGCATACGTTTGTAACTTATTTTGAGGGACCCTATATGGGTAACCCTTTCAATGTTTTCACTAATAAATGAACAAAGGGTCTCTCAGCTACATTTTGGCCGAGAGACAAACCCGGATACGATAACAAAAACAAAACAAAGCATGCCTGACAAGAACCCACGCTTTTGCCAGAGCCGTAACACAACATATAATCTATATCGTTATGCATCACCGCCTTACATGAGAGGCGTGATACATTTTCTGACTATATCCCGGAATCTGATTTTACATCTCACTCGAATACGAAAAACTGAACCCTAAAACACCAACTCAGAATTCAAGCCTTCAACACAAAATTCATTGTGATCTCTAACTCTAATTATATTGTTATCCCGAAAAAAAGCCACTCCAGTTAGCTCTAGATAACCAACTTTCTTTTAATGAGGGAAGTGTGCAGAATTCACAGATCACTTGCCTTACAAGTTGCCTTCATCTACAGTATTTTGCAATAACAAAAGTAATCTCCTAGGTAGCAATTCTTCAACAAAAGAATATCAAAAATCTGTAAGTACAAAAGAAACCAGATATATTCAATTTATAACCATGTTTCATGGAGAACATCAAAAAGCATGTTTGCTAAATAAAATAAAAAACTAAAATAGCATTTTGGATTCTTCGAAGGTCAAAGATAGCATTAGAGAACAACAAAATCATTGATATGACACATCAGAGAAGATTTAACTAATTCATTGCAACATCAGACAACCTAATCTTTGACTATAATGCAGAAAAGAGAAATCATGAAACTATGAACATAACAATAAGCCAATAATATAGGCTCTGAGCCTATGAACCTTTTTCTTAGCATATGAGCAGATTATTGTAGAATTCATGCTCTGATCCCATGCTTTGCCTCAGGCCATGGGATATTTTAAGGACAGTAATTTAACGATCCGAACCCTACATGGCATGCAATGCACAATAGCTGTGTGTCATATCAAAGATTTGTTACAAGATGGAACTGTACTTTAAACTTCTAAAGACTGAAGACATATCAATGAATGAATCATGTGGTCATTAACTAATTATTCAAAAGTTGCCTATCAATCTTGACCTGACATTCTCCTAAAACTTGCAAGCACGCCTTAAATTACTAAAAGGAATGCTGCCAAATATAAGACCTGGCCCAAAGAAAGAATGCTAGCAGAGTCTTCACATGGAAAGTTTTCCGTTATGCTCCTACAACACTTAACAAGATTGTGCTACTAATCTCCTACGAAGATCAATAAAAAATTAAACATTGAAAAGAACTTCCTCTAGCTGAAAATCATTTGCAGAGAGGATTTAGGAAGCTATGTAAGAAGTATTACCTCTATTTGTTTGTCTCTTATTAACACTATAACCACCAACATAACCGGGAGAACTTTTACCCGAAACATCAGAAGTGGCACTACTAAGTCCATAGCCAAAGGAACCAGAACCATCTCACTCAGATGCTGATGATAGCCAAGTGTTATCCCCATAAACTGAAGCACCACTATAGAGATCTGCAAAGGCTCCATCATAACCAGCATTTGATGCCACATATGCAGATGATGCTGGCACCACATTGATCCCATTATTTCTCCCATACCCTGTTGTCCCTAACTCAAAGCTGTTATCACCACTTCCATACCCGAAATTCACACTATTGCTAGAAACATTATTCCCTCCAGCTTGACCAGCAATTGCAGAACTCCAATTAATTCCACTATTTCCAAAGGCACTTCCTCCTATACTCCCATTTCCAGATCCTGTATATGCATTGGAACTAGCAGTATTTGTGTAATAATTGAGTCCCCCATTTCCCCAAAGGTTCTGGGACACTGAGCTGAAAAAGGAAGTATTACCTCCACTACTTCCATCATACCCAAAAGGACTACCGAATCTGTTTGTATTACCAATATAGTAAGGGCTCAATCCCCGTCCATAGTTCATATTACTACTAAAACTTGCACCATTTCCAAAACTTGGGTTTAACCCTGGCTCAAAGTTCATGCCCTATCCAGAACCAAAAGGAGGAAAACCACTTCGACCATCAGCAACTGTACTGAATCTACCATAACCTCCAACATCTCTTGGAGCATATCCCTGACTGTAGCCATTAAGAAAGGTGTTGACCCTATTCAGACCATAGTTATATCCACCAAGGGGGCTATGACTAGGACCAGGTGATAATTCTTTGGGAACTGCTGGTTTAACTTCGACCATTTTACCATTCAGTTCATGGAAATTTTTTAGCAGCACTTCATACACTGCCTCTTCTGTATCATAAGTTATGAATCCAAAACCCCTAGGCCTTTGGGTATTGTGATCATACATCACTACTGAAGATACTAATTTTTTACCCATATTATAAATATTATTATTATTATTATTATAATTATTATTATTACAATAATAATAATTATTATTACTATAATAATAATAATTATTATTATTATTATTATTATTATTATTATTAAATATATTAAATACATATATAAGTAATATTAAATTACAAGCCCAGTTAACCGGCCCAAAACCCAAACTGAAACCCTAAACATTTAGGGTTTCAGTTAGAGTTTCCTAACCCTAATCCCTATCCGCCTCTAATCCAGCCGCCTCTGCCTCTGCCTCCACCGCTGCCACGTCCCAACCGAAAGCTCCAGAAGCTCCAACACCAGCCTTCCACGCCATGGCTAGGGGGTGAGTCACCACTGGTAGTCCGGTGACTCACCGAAACCCATTCTTCGGACCGGTCCGATGACCACTCCGGTGATGGCTATAAAGCCATCACCCCATCTGCAATAAAAAAAACACAGAGAGACAGAGACAAAAAAAAGACAGAAAATACACGGAAAGAAAAGTAAAACAGAGAAATCAAATACTACCAACGATCTCAACAACAAACACAGCAAAGAAACGGAAAAGAAAGAAAAAGGAAGAAGAGAAACTTACCGAGGAAGCCGACCACCGGATCTCACCAAAACCTTCGAAAAACCGAAGGTATATTTTTAGATTTGCTCCGATCGGGAGCCGTTTAAAGGAAAAGATCATCGGAACCGTCATTAGGACGGTCCGATCTACGTTTCAAAGTAAAAAAAAAATTATTCCGGCCACCGGAGACGGTGGCCGGCGGCGGTGGTTGGCGACGGACGAACACCGGCAGACGGAGGTCGGCCGTCTGGCTTCTCTCTATTTTAGAGAGAAGCGAGAGAAAATTTTTTTCTCTCAAAGAAGAGAGAGAGAGGAGAAGGAGAAATGAAGGCTGGCCCTTCGGGCCAGCCGTTTTGGACCTTATATAGTCCTTCCCGAACGACGTCGTTTCGGGAAGGACTATGCGTGTAAATAGATAATAGTTAAACCCCATCCGCAGTCCTCCGAATTTGTAAACTTTACATTTTAGTCACTAAATCAAATTTATAATCCTTTTAATTTGATCTCTAAATTTTAATTTCATTTATTTTAGTCCTTTATATTAAAATAATATATTTAGGATAAATAACAGATTCAATCCCTTAATTTTAATAAATAATATTTTAATCCCTAGTTTATATTTTTAATTTATTTTATTATAATATCCGAATTTTAGATAATTTTATTTTAGTCACTAAATAAATAAAATAAAGAAATAGCATGTTTAATCCCTAATATTTTGATTAATTATGAATTAGGTTTTTAATTTTATTTTTACTATAATTTAGTCATTTATTTTAAATGTTTTCATTTATTTTAAATATATCGTTCTAGTTGTATTTTTATTGTTTTAATTTTACTTGTTTATTTAATTTTTATAGTCATAAATATATATATAATAAAATAAATATTTATTTCAAATAAATTATTTTAATATTTATTTTTCAATATCGAAGAAAAGGACAGTCTTAATACAACTGGATGTTCTATTCTGGTATTTTAAAATTAAATATTATAAAAAATTATTATTTAATTTTATGTAAATTAATCAATATCAAAGAAAAGAGCTGTCTTAAGGCACCTAGAAGTCCTTTTCTGATATTTTTTAAATAAATATTTTTATAATTTTGAAATAATAGGATTATAAATTAAATATATTTTAAATTTTTAATATTTTTAATATTTTTAATAATAGAGACAATTTATAATTAAAAAGTACCAATTTTGGGCGTTGTAGGGGTGCTAATCCTTCCCTAAACGTAACCGACCACGAATCCCTTTTTATTATTAAAAAGAACGAATCTTTGGTTATAAACGCAGATCAGTTCATTCTTTTAATTGATGTTTTCTTAAAAACTCTTTTAAAAGATATTTTTTAGGTATTCGACCTACCTGACCCAAAAGGCCGATGGCGACTCCCAAATTATTTTCAAAACCATTTATTCACATCACTTTTCCCGTCAAAATAAATATTTCGTGCCCGGGCGAAAACCGGTTACGACAGCTTGGCGACTCCGCTGGGGACCTGGTCAAACTTTTAAAAATCAATTATAAATTGTCTCTATTAATTAAAAATTAAAAGTTCATATATTTAATTTTTAATTCTTTCTTTTCAAAATTTTTATATTTAATTATTATTTATATGTTTTATTTTATTTGCAAGTATTTTATTTCATTATTTATTTTTCTGTCAAAGGTTTGAGCATTTCTCCTCACACACAACACTTGCATTGCATCACATAAAGCTTTATAATTGAGTTGTCCCTTTTAAGTGGGAGTGAAAGCGACGTCTTCGTGAGAATTTATTCTCCGTGTCAGACCTAGCAAGTAACTTTCGGGGTTCATATGCTCTATGTCTTCGTGAGAATTTATTCTCCGTGTCAGGCATAGAGAAATGTATCCCCTCAAATTGAACTCGATCCACTTTAGTCTGTGATGGACTAGGGTTGAGGGTTAGCAACCCAAGGGGGCACTAACAAGGACAATTTGAGTACCTTTATTCTTAGATCTGAAACCTTGCATATAAAAAAACCCTAGAAACTCTTCCGATCCGAAGTCATGCTAAAATTTTGTCCAAAATAGGTGTACACACAGGAGAAATGAATTCTAACTTTCTTATTTATTTATTTATTTATTTTCTTTACTGATTAAATTACACGTATATTTAAATTATTTAAATTTAGAAAAAGCATGTTTAAATAAAATATTTAGGTAAATGTTATTATTAAATTTTTATGTAAACTAATTCATTTCTTTTTGTGTGTTTTTTTTATTTTTTCTGTTTGCATAGCATCATACAGGATAAAAGGAATTGATCCTAGTGTTAATTGTCTCATTGGAAAGCCTTCATCTATGGATAAAAAGTGTTCAAATCAAGTAATTCTAAACTCAGAAGTAAGACAGTGGGCTGAGGACTTACAAAGACAAGAAGGAGACAGTCTGCAGGATGATTATGTATCTGACTTGGCCAGTTATGCTCCAGTTTCGCTAAAAAGAAATGATATGCAAGATTTGCGAAGCATTTGGGAAAGTTGGGATTCAAACAAAAAATTGCAGTTTTATCAGATTTACGGAGACATCCCATATTTGCTCTATGTCGAAGTTGATGATGAATTACTCAGAGCCCTAATTCAATTCTGGAATCCAGGGTACAATTGCTTCACTCTCAATAAAGAGGATTTGGTCCCTACTATTGAAGAGTACACAACTTTGCTACATATAGATGGGGCTTTGGAGAATCGAATCTATTCAAAGTCAATTAAAACTCAACCCTTTCGAGTTAAATTAGCAAAGATTGCCGGGGTACGAGAAGAATGGGTAGCATCCCGTACAAAACAAAAAGGCGAAAGCGAAGGCATTGCTTGGACCAACATTAAAGAACTTATTCAGAGTCATCCAGATATTAAAGTACGGTTCGATTTATTTGCTCTGGGTATGTATGGTATGGTCATCTTCCCAAAAGTGTTGGGATATGTTGAAGCTGCAGTGGTAGATTTGTTTGAACAGCTACCGAAAAAGATTAATCCTGTTTCTGCAATCCTAGCAGAGACCTTCAGATCGTTAAATGCTTGTAGAAGGCTAGGAGGTGGACGATTCTCAGGGTGTACCCAGTTGTTATATGTTTGGATCCGTAGTCATTTCTGGAGGACAGAAAAGGTTTCATACCGACGTTTTAATACGGATTACTCACCATTAAAAGAATTTCTGGAACAGGAATGGCCGAAAGAAATTAAGAAATATATGTGGATTAATGCCTTTCGAAATCTGCAAAGCAATGACGTTGTTTGGCGAGCCCCGTGGCAAATCCAAAGGGAATTCTTTTACAGATGTGGTGATTATAATTGGATAATGCTGCTCGGATTATGGGGAGGAATTGGATATGCACCACTTCTGGTTATAAGACAGTATGAAGGTCGCCAATTTGTACCTGTCACTGCTGGATTACAGTCATCTAAGTTCGCATTCCATAGCAAAAATTATAAAAGAAATATCATGGAAGCCGTTACAGCTTGGAAAACAACTTTTTGTATCCGAGCTAAAGCAGCAAAAGAAATGCTAACTCCTGATTATGAAGAATGGAGATCTGCCAGGAAAAATGAAAATATTCCTCTACCAGATCAAAAAGAGGATATCTCTATGGAAGATCGCATTAAGGTGGTTCCATCAGAGATTGAAATCCTGAGAGCTGAGTTTGAAGCAGAAAGAGAAGGCTGGTCGAAAGAGTTAGAGCAAATGAGACAAGATAAAGCTATGTTGGGGGTTGACATTGACTTTCATTCATCACAATGTGCAATGTTGAGAAAAGATAAAGAAAAAGTTGATGATGAATTCAGAGCATTACAGAAAAATTACCAGGAGTTATATAAATCCCGGAAAGCATCAAGACCAAGCCAATCAACGGTACAAATGACCAGAGAGTTGAACATCGAGAAAAGTCGAGTTGAAGATCTGAAAGGAAAGAATAGCCGTCTACTAAAAAGCCTTGAGAAAGGAAAGCAAAAAATGGAAGATTTTGAAGTCGACAGAAGAGAGCGAATTATAAAACACAAGGCTGAACACCGTGAGATCATGAATGAAATGCGAAGAGAAAGGGATCGAGCCAAAGATTTAGAAGAGATGAAGAATGACATCTTTGATAAATTT